CGTAAAAAATCCGCATACAAAGCTACCAAGTGTCTATATGTAACTAAAAAAATTTAATATTTTTTAAAATTGATTATACTTCACTTTAAACTAGATAAGTAAACGCTAAGAGAAGTCTGGAATATATTTCTGCGATTAATCAAACCAAATCAAAGCATTTTTCTTATTGAGAAGAGTTCGAATCGCGACACGAGTCGCGTTATCGGCCTACCATTGTCTCACGAAGACACGGATCTCGGATTCTCATCCACTACTCGCCAGGATCTTTCTTCGGGGATTCATTGTGCGCTACCACGTATCCGTATTGTCTGACAGCCGACATGCTCCGTTGTTGTTGCTGTTGTCGGCAACAGCAACGAATGAAGCGAGGAATTCGTGGGGTTCATTGTGAATCCGTGGTTTCTAGCGTTCTTATCAGTTTCTACAGCAGGATCCATCTCTCCCTCCCTTTTCTTTCAGTCTTTCTTTCTCAGTTTTTCGTCGGAGAATAATTTTCTGACTCAAAAGATACCGATGATTTAATAGATAATTTAAATTCTATTTGAATTTTCCTCTAAATTGTTTCAGCTCTTTCGCAAATGTTTTCCAATTATATCTAAATTGTACTTCGTTAAATCATCTCTTTTTTATTTCTCTTTTCCCTATTTTCCATCAAAATTTTTTTATTCTATTTGAACGGAACTCCGTATCCTGTCGGCCACTAAAGATATTACTTTGCTTTCTCTCCTTTCTCCGGCGATTTTTTTCGCTCCAAGCCGCGTCTGGTAATCCTGACCGAGCTGCATAAAAGGAGCGGAAAGGCTCGGGAGATATTAAAGTCCTCGTGTGAAACTCTGAGAGCATGAAAAAGTCACTCTCGACGACTTCGCGACCGGTTTATCTGGAGCAAATCTCTAGTTAAAACCTCGAATTGAACTGTCTCGTTTGACAGCGAAAGCAAAAGTCGCTAATTTATCGCTATTATAATTTAGTCCTGTTTGTAAAGTAATTGAATCGATATTTGAATCAAGTCAATGTAGTTTAACCTACTTTTATTTTAATTTTTAAATTTGAATTCTAAATTTGACTCTAATTTTAATTTTAAAGCAAGTTTTTTTTACACGGAAAGCGTGCTCTTCGATCAATACCAGCAGTTTTTGCATAATATATGTTCGATCTTTTTCTTAAACAAAGAGCTGGAACGTAACATTAAATTGAAGGATCAGAAAATCGAACATATAAAAAACCGTCAGCCAGAGATATCTCGGTCTCTTTAGTTTCTGCTACATCTCTGTAATACCTTTTTATACTCGTCGTTGAATTCTCCGCGAAATAAATCTCCAGTCCGCGAACGTTTGCAAGCTACGCGCGGCGTCGCGACGTCGGTGTCTCGCGGCGGCCATTGTTGGCGGCGTCGCGGCGCAAACCCGGGCGGCGCATTGTGCCGCCGTTGCACCAAGCCGCATCTCGTCGCTATCGCGCGGCTCGGGTTCCGCCGTTTCCAGGATGCCAGAGCTGCGGGGCTTCGCGCTTTGTGCATGCCTCGGCGGCGGCCGACAACAAGTGGTAATTAATTCTACGCAAAACAATCAGCCCGCTGGCACGGGTTGAAAAGGGGGAGGAGAGCGATGAAGGGGTTAAAAACGATTCGCGATTCGTCCCTCTTGCCCAATGAGTCCCTTCGTGGATTCCTGGCGTTTAAACGCGAATCGCGATGGTGTGCAAACACGCGCGGGACGTAAAACGCGTATCGAGAATGATAATTAATTGTGTGGTTTTCAATTTTTACCTTCAATGTTATCACGATATTATCACTTTCTATTAATTTTTATATAATAGAAGTGGTAAGACATAAAAAAATTAGCATTATTGTATCAATAATGTTCAATTTAAAACAATTTGTATTTATACAAATGTATATTTATTTGTATAAATAATTTTATTAAAAATATCTGAAAATAATTATCTTATTTTCTAATAATGTATTGTACCTGTCATAAAAAACAGTGATTAGTGAAACAATGTCTCGAAATCTGATGCGCACTAAAAAAAGAGTGAATATATGTATGTCACACGAAATGGGGGTGGATTGTATGAAGTACTGGATCGTACGCGGACTGGATCGCTGGAAGTGAGAAATACGACTTCACATTTTTATTCTCAACCTCCTACCTTAATACTTATAATAAATTAATATAATAAATTATAATAAAATATAATAAATTATTACTACCTTAATATTTATATATATATATATATTAAAATATAATAAATTAATACTACCTTAATATTTATAATAAAAATTTAATAATTTATATTAAAATATTTTTTAAATTTGTTGTTTTAATAATTTATAAAATATATAAATATTTTTAATAATTTTTTAAAAAAGAAATAATGATAAAATTAGTATAAATAGAATAATTTATAAATATATATAATTATTTAAGTAATAAATAGTAATTTGGCAAATTTAATAAATTCAACTGTTTAATAAAAACATAGTTTTTTGAAAATAATATAAGATTAGTTCTGCTCAATGAAAATGATTAAATAGCTGCAGTAAATTGACTGTACAAAGATAGCATAAGATGGGTATAATTTCAACCTTCAAAAGGCAATGGTGTTAATTCCATAGTGGAATTGCACTCTAAGCTTCTGTGTGCTAAAGACAACTGAAACCAATAAGTGGACATTTTGCTTGAATTCAGAATTAAAATATGATGCATGATCAATTGATCAGGCACTATGCATGAGCTGATATATGCTGATAATTGAATATTGGAATGCTTCAAACACGAAAAATGCATGCGGTTAAACGAATCTAAGAACTTTATGATCTTACTTAAAGAGATCCAGAAAAAGCTTGTAACTAAAATAGATGACTGTTATGCAATATTGTGTGTAAGTATATGACATAGCTTTAATGATTCTAGTGACTAAATCTAGAATTATTGATAATATTGTGTATATATAGTGGAAAAATAACAATGAAAATGACGATTTTCTAAATATCATTGACGTTGCACGAAATATTTATAAAATCGATCACTCCGTAAACACAATTTTGAATTCTCGCATTCGGATCTCATCAATTGCATAATATGTTTAAAATTATGACGTCAGTTCTCGTAATTATCTTCAATGTGATCGAACAGTCATTACTCACTTCAGTGTGAGTGAATAGTCATATATGTTATCCGAGTGTTACATCATTATTTTACATTGTTATGTTAAAATTTTTAATATTAGCATAGCATCGAATCCAAACTGTTAGCTTCTTTCTATTTCGGTAGAAATAGTCTTGTTTTTTAGCTGGCAAATAACAGCAAATAAGTGCCAATCTTCAACATTCAATACAGCGCCAATAAATGATCTCGCGTTTATAAATATTTGTTGATCAATTTATTGCCGGAATCGGCAATTCTCAAATATTGGTATTTTGAAACATATGTTAATGACTGTTTAATCACACAGCAGAGAATTGCGAGAATCGACATTGAACGAATTATTCGATCAATTAATATTCAAATGTAAGAATTTAGAACTGTATTTGCGGGACGATTGATCTGTTTGTTCAACATAAATGAATTCCGAATATATATTATAAAAAATTCAATAATGTGTATGTTCATATATCGACTGTTGTCTTGAGATTTTGAAAATGATGAAAAAGAGCAATCTCTTTACTAGTGCTATCAATACTCAGGTATCGCATAGAATTGTATTACATGTAAAAAATAACATTATAAAATTTATAGTTTATAATTTATAATGTTATTTTTTATATACGATTATATTCGATAATTTTGTATTAACAATGCAATTACAATACAATACGTGTCTGTAATTATTATATTTCGAATACCCAAGTATCCGGTTCTAAATCTACTTCTTATTTTCAATTAATTTGTAAATTTTTTTTAATTTTTTTAGTTGTAAAAGTAAGTTGTACAACGTACAACAAGAAGTTGATCCAGATGTGTCAACACATGCGCATAAAAGAAGGCCACAGAACCAACCAGTCCTCGAGGGATAGCTAGTACTATCTACGTTGCTACATTTTCAGATCTTTTCATAACTAATTATATATATTTACATCTGACCAATTATACTATTTTTTCTCGGATAATAATAATGTTAAATGCGCAACTTCAAGTTTATTTATTATGGAATATATGCGCGTCCCAATCTTTTATTATTATTATTCAACACAGTGTTTATTTTGTATTCATTTCGATTTTGAATGAAATGCGCTAATTTTCTTTCTGTATTAGAATGAAGCTGCATAAATTTATACAGAGTAGACAAAAAAAAAAGATAAACTATTTTTTTCTTTTTTTTCTTTTTTAATAAAATCTAAATAAAACACAGCGGTTGTCTTGTTATATATCGTCTATTAAGACTCGGCAATTTTGTACAGAATATAACGTCGAACAAATGATCGCCTCTAGCCGCGACGGCATTCTTTCGATCATGTAATTCATGATTTTTTACACATTTCAATACTGCAACCACACTAAACAATCACTCTGCGTGGATGATCGTTGGTGTATTTCTACAATCAACGTTAATAATGTTCAGTTGTGCTATCACTAACCACGCTTTCTCGTTAGTATATTAATTCAACTGAAAACCTAATGTAACACACATTGATGCACTAACGATCTTAACATTCATGCAGTGTGATTGTTTAGTGCGATTGCTGGAATAAGAATTAAAATGTGCAAAAGAATCATAAATTATACATATATATAGCCGAAAGAGCGCGGCATTGCGTCGCAGTTAGAGGTGGTTATTTGACCGACATTACATTTCATACATATATAATTACTAAGTCTTAAGAAACGATATGTGATTAAAAAACCGCTGTATTTTATTTACAATTTATTAAAGAAAAAAATTATTCATCTTTTTTTCGCTCACTCTGTACAATTAAATTATTTATTATTTTTGACGTTTCAGTTTACCTCGTCATTCCAGCGGAATGGATTAATCACAACCATAAAAACGTATTACAGGCGCCGAATGGAAACTCCTTACGGAGGACGAAAAACGTCCGTTCATTGACCAGGCGAAAAGGTTACGCGCTCAGCATATGAAGGAACATCCAGATTATAAGTACAGACCGCGAAGAAAACCTAAGACCCTACGGAAAGACGGCTACCCTTACAGCATCCCTTATCCGAGTGTGCCCATGGACGCCCTTCGAGCCGGTAATTATCATTATCTTTAACGTTATTGTTTTTATAATCTTAATTATTAATTAAGAATTAATTAATTAAATTAAAATCATAAAAACAAATATGTGTCATCAGAAAAAAGTAACGCGATGCTCGAAAAAAAAATTTCCAATTTATTATCACTTTGAATGCCTCCGATAATTAATAATATTTAATGCCCGATATTTGTGCAAAATTTAATACGCAATATATTCGATGTCCTTGATAACTTCAATTTCCGAATTAAGCACTTTCGCGAATCAAACAAATTAATTTAAATATGTACAATAATTATTAGTCAAAAAGTACAAAATTCAAAAAAACTAAAAGTAAAAAATAAATTTTATATAATTTAATAGGAATAACATAATCTGATATTCCATTGTAATTACAAAATCGGAAACTAGACATTTTAACTTTTTTTACAGCTAATAAAAACGGGCATACTTTTTTTATGTGTTTAGAGTATGTGCTATTGATTGATGCGCTATTATCAATTCAATCGGCCCAGCCGTTATTGAGATCCAATAATCTCGGCTCGTCTCAACTTTCGGGCTCGCGTAAAGAGTGTCGGTCGGTCTTGCGCCTGCGTTGCACGCTGCGCGTGAACTTGGCGCGAGACACTATTTTATTTTTTATACGAAAGTATTTTAATTCTTATTTTAATTTTAAAAAATTTTCCCAATTACACTACAATAACAAATCAAACAAATCACATGTTTTATTTTGTCTACATATACCATAAAATTCGATCTTCTATTCGTAAACACGTTTTGCTAACGTTTCATCGTCACGTCCAAACTGTAAGTATATTTGGATCCTTCGTATTTGCTTTGAATAAAAATTTGTCAAAATCTTGTGGAAAATTTTAGAAGCATCTTAATAGTAGACAACATAATAATACATCCTGAACGTTTCTTACACGTGTTACAAATTCTACATGTAACCTGCGATGTATCTGCGCATCGTAAAATATTTGTTCAAAAACATTGAAAACCATCGTTGAATTTCCGTGATAAAGATTAATTATTAATTAAAATTATAAAAATAATAAAGTTTTGCTCTGGCACATGGTTTGCTTTGAAATGCTCTTAAAATAGCACACATGCTTTCAGTATTTATTCTATGTCCACTTATAAATTATTTATTTTATTTATTAAATAATATATAAATATTTATACATATTATCTAAGTTAACCTAGGGATGTGCCGCTAAAGATTAAGCTTCCTTGTAAACTAAACTTAAAATGCGATTTTTTTTGTCAAAATGTTCAAAAATATTTTTTGTCAAAATATTAAATACTTATATTTTTAAATTTGTCAATAATATTGCTATTAATATCCACAAAATAATATTGATGTTACTCGGCCTTATCACAAAATTTATTATTCTTAAAAGATAAAAAAAATCAGCATTTAGTTTTGTATTTTCTGCACCTATTTTTCTGCGGTTTCGACGAATCATCTCGTTGCATCGCATTGCAGCGAAGTGGCGCGTGGAGGTGTTGTCGCAAATATTGCACCTCCCGCAGTTGCGTAAACACTCGTGCCCGAACACTTGTGCCTCCGCTGACGTCACGTCTGGTTAGTTTATTGTGACAATTGAGCGGGCACAATGGAGCCGAGCGCGCGTGCAAAACGCCGGTGGAAGAACATAGAAAACGCCCGCACCGCGCGCTACCAATTTGTTTAATTAACGCGAGGCGGAGGCGCAAATGCATTATGCGCGGTGAACGCGACGATTTGTAATTTAATAATTGCAATCTTCCCACGGCGCCGCAACAAAGACCGCGCGCCGAGCGTGTTGTCCGCATTACACGATAATACGCGCGTTATTTTTCATGTAAACAAAGTCGTCAGCCACTTATTTATTCGTTACCCGAAAGTGTATCGATAATTGCATTGTCAAAAGTAACGAGTGCATATGCAAGATATTTTATAAATATCACCGCTCGCTTTCAGAGCACAGATTGTTCGCTCAACTCGAAATCAAATCATACGCCACATTGTAATTGTTAAATTTTTTTTATACTAATATTAATTAATCGTTCAAACTAAATCGATATAATCACCGTTGATTTATTTGTAATCTTTGATTTGAGATCATTTCTATGTGACGATGATTACAATGCCGATTTAATTTTCATTCGCAAATGTTGCAAAAATAACGCGTCCAAATAAATTCCAAATTCACCAGTAAATGTACTCTTACAATTTGACGCAAACTTAATGAAATATCTCGTATACGAGCGATGAAAGCGAAACAATATACTTTTGTCATCAGAGTTTTCTCGCTATTCATTATCATTTTCTCTAGTGTGGAAATGACGACGTTCGAATATTCATGCCGCATTATAATACGCGTGTCCGTATTCACTTTGTAATTTATCGCCATATAATTCATGGTCGCGTAGGTCGAGTTTACGGATATCTTTCGCGCACTTCCATTCAAGGAATTATTAATTCCGGCAGTAGTGATGTTGCGATTAAGACTGGAATTTATCCCAACGCCCACGCGATCTCGCGCAGCCGCGAAAAGCGATCGGTAATCTCCAATTTATCGGACACGTAGAGGGCTCGCTTGCCTTCTCTCTCTCCCCCGGTTTATATCTCGTTCGTGTTTTGATCACCTCTCCTTTCTCGAATATTTCTCTCTTTGCGCATTTCTATTCAACTCCAGATTGAAATTCCTACACAGCTTAGATATTCTCAAACAGGAAACATATTTTTATAAAGCAACATTCGATTCACGAAGTGCAAAGTTTCAGTAATAACACGAAATTTCATTTTACAAGCGCAAGAAAGAAATTATAAAAATAATTATAGTTTTTTAAAAATATATTTTTAAAAGACAAATTTTGAAAAAAACTATATAATTTTACTGTCAAAGTAAAAAATGAAATATTTACGTTTCACAAAATACTTAAAACAATTTTTTAATTACAAATATGCTATAATCATCGAAATGATTATTCTATTACCGCGTGCGTATCATATTTACTTTTACATATAATATATATTTTACTTATTTATCTCTGTGCTTTATAAATTATATTATCTTTACTGAGAAGCAATTTACAGCAATGTGCAGTCTTTCGTCCGCATTCAGAGAAACGTGTTTTCGTCCTTTTTACCGACGTTGTCGCTAATTTCTTTCCTGCCTTTCTTTTTTTTCAACCAAGCGCCCGGTTTCTTTCAACCATTTCTGCTACCTCTCGACCGTATTTACACGGTGGCACGCGCATAAGACGCGTGGGTGGCTGGGATAAATTACCGGCTTAAGCTGGAATGCCACTCGAATTTCTATGCACGCCTGTACAACCATACGTACTCCTTGAGGATGTGAATTAAGGACAAACTTGAATATCAAAAACTCATCCCTCGGACAGTGCACGAAATCGCTAATCTTCTCACTTTAATTCGGAATACTAATCGCGATATATGTGATATTTGTGTTAACGTCGGATTTAGTGCAATAAACATTTTTTTATCGTAATTTCAGAATTATGCATCAAGAACAAATTGAGTAAAGCTGATCGAATACACTGTAAAAAGTTACTGACTGACAATTCAGACAAAAGTGTTTGAAGTTTTTTACAGTCACATTGTCTGAATTTTCGGACAGAATATTGTCTGAATTTCTAGCCACAGTTGTTTGAATTTCTGGTCACAGTTGTCTGAATTTCTAGCTACAGTTGTCTGAATTTCTAGCTACAGTTGTCTGAATATTTCTGAATTTCAATGCCTGAATATTCAAACACTTTTGTCAGAATTTAGATGTGGTTTTTTAAAATACTAACAATATATTTTGGTTTAAAGTATACTCAATGATGCGATGTTTCCTACCGGGCTCCCGACT